GCTGGTGTTGTTGTCCTTAGTTTGTTGTCCTGTCAAAATATCCTTCACTAATTTCGTTTTTTTTTTTTGTTTTTTTTTCGGTATTCCCTCAGATTTGAGCTCCTGTTTCATTTAATTTCGTAATCATAAGCTCTAAATATGACAGCGGTTGGAACGAGTTGATAATGTTTATTACATCTCGAAACATCTGTCGGAAGAATTGCTGAGCAGGTAACCTCTTCAAGCAAAAAAACGAGCTCCTGGATCACCAGTAGGTTGACTATCAGGCAATGCAACACTGTCCAAAGCAATTGAAGAGGCGGTCAGCTATTGCCGGTGATCAAAGTTTCATGTCAACTTTATTTTATTACCAAAGTGGTTGTCACTCTCAGCGCGAGACCTTAAAGTGCTCGATGGCACCTGATTCGCTGCTATCTGTCAGTTGTAGTGAACTCTACTACCAATTCCCACAGCAGGTTTTTTGTGCCTGTCACTTTTTTTGAAAGAAGGGGGTCTAGTAGCTTTTTCGTCCAGGCTTTTTTATTTATTTATGGATTAAATTTATACTAAAATTTTAGCAACTAAGCTTACTTTCATGTTCAAAAGCGAAACTTTGTTGATCCACTCGGTAAAAGCTGTTTAATATCCAGAAAGCAAATTCTTGTCTTTCAGGGTACCGAAACAACTCAACATCACGACAAAATGGCTATCTTCCTAGCCATGAAAGTTATATGCGCTCAGTCACGACACGCCGCGAAAAAGATGGCGTAGGCTTTTACAGTGAAGATTATTTCTGTAAAAACTCTATCTGTATTACTAAATTATACTTGTTTCTAAAACGTGTTCTTTATAACGCCTTTTAAGGCGCATGGCCTGCCAAATACTTCCATGGGAAGGGAGGAAGGGCAAAGATACTGAGAGGGAGGTGGGTGAAGATATAAGAGGGAAAAAGCATCAACGTATAACAAGAATGGGTTAGAGGTAAGTCCCATTGTTCCTTGCTGACGTAAACGTCGCCTATTAGTGAATGTTGCTGCGAGAAGGAATTAGGTTCGTTTGAAATGTTTTGAGACTTAGGTTGCGTAGAGAAGAGATGGCGATTACAAGTCCGAGGCGTGAGGGTCATAAGAAAAGAGCTTTTAGCGCCTTGAGCATTTTCTAAAAAATTCGAACTCTGATTGTTCATATCTACTGTTCGACTGTTCATATCAAATCAGAATAACGTTTCTTTTGCAGCAATATAACGAGGGTGGGCGTTTGATAACCAATGGAAGCTTATCAAACGGACGCTACAGCTCATCGCTATCGGATAGCTTGAGGCGCGGTGAGCTGCGTTATAATCCGAATGGCGATATCCGAGAGGTGCACCATAGCTCATCGGCTCGAAATGGACGCATTCATAAAAGTTATTCTACTCGTTAGTCATTCTACGAAAGCCACTTGTTCATGTGAATTTTGCTAAAGCAGATTTGAAATTCATATGAAATAGGACAATGTAAAATTAAATTTTTTTAAAAGCTTCAAATTTTCAAAATCAAAATCCCCGCCCCACCTTCTCCTGTTGTTCATTCTCGATGAGAAGCGAAGGCACTCAAAAGTAGCTGGATAGTTGCACCCTGTTAACAAACACCAACCACTGTAAGGGTATAGCTTCAACTTCCGAAACTTGCTTGGAAACAAGCTGATAGCAGGCTTCGCTCACTTACGTTGGTAGCAATTTTTAGTACTAAATGAGCTGTAGAGAGGATTGATAATCCTACTGGTGAAGTTGAAATCTCGGTCTTCGGTATGACAGCAACGCTAATTGCCATTTCGCCTTACCCTTTAGTGGATTTTGATTTGATTTCAAAAATTCTATTCGGCCTTATTAATCACTATATGGATTTATGGGATTGTTTCATTCGTGCGACAGACGTTTACGCTACGTCTAGTAAGTCAGAAAAAGTTAAAATCCGTTCCTCGACCATTTTCTATGAAAAACGGAGGTACTGGAAAGTACTCCGAATAGTAACAAATTCCAGTACAACCAAAAAACTCAGGTATTATTTTAATGACGATGCTGGAAAAAATAATTTCATCCAACTATTAAAGGCGATGTGTATGATT